CTGGCTTATAAAATCTATTTCATGAAACTTTTCAAATAAATAATTTATTACTCTAGTATCTAAATGCTCTATAAAGAATTTTACTCCTTATGGAGCAAAGTAATGGTTTCCAGAAGTGATAGGAGGTACGGGAGCTTCACAATTTGGATCTGACGTTGCGATAGTGACATTTGTGGTTTGCAGGAAGTAACCGGAACCGGATCGGAAGAAATCGTATTCGGCTCGGGCGGCAACACAGTCAACATCACTGAATAAGGTTAGGGTTAGAAGAAAATATCAGAATTTAGGGTAGAGAAGAAAATACGATTACCGCTTCAGTCGAGTAAAGCACACGTGAGGGGTTAGGCATCGGCTTACGTGTAACGTCCAGTGCTCATCATTGATGGCACTCATGCAACGGTCGAAGTCCTAAAAATATGGTTTGGGTACCGCGGGTCGATCCTTGTTAGCATTAGTATTCCAATTTTCCAAAGACACTGCGCCCTAGACGCTGTTTTCGGCGTAGAACAACACCCGGGGCTGCAAGAACTCGTCTAGGTGAATTTATGTGCACAGTTGAACATTACTGACTCTGAAGCACGTACGACGCGCCGCGTCTTGGTCCCGCACCCGATAGAGCTTCCGGTAGGGGGTTTGTTTACAAAAATAGGGTACTTAGGGTTAGAAAAGGCGCAAAAAACCTAACAAGGCTTGAGTTCTTTATGGCTAAAAAGACAAAATCTATTAGAAACTTTAGTGTAAGAGGAAAAGAATCTGCTTGTTACATTTATAAAAAACTTTCCTTCATTGTGAGTATGCATATGCATGAAAAGTAGATTTCATTGCGCTTATGCTATTGCACGTTACACACGTAATGTGTAGAGAGACGCAGCATATTATAGCCACAAAGTGCACACCCGCCCACTTTTGCTCCCTGTGACCAATGCGTTTGCGTTTCCTTTCAATGTTTAATTTGAAGTTGCACATCTCCAGAGCAAAATACTTCTTATGTGTTCTTTTCATTGTAAAAATTTTCTATCTAATCTTTAGGATCTTTCTATGGATCCTATGCCAATCAACCTTACCTCAAATGACTCGGTACTGGATACATTAAGAGCAGTATCTCGAATATCTTCAAATGTGTCGAGCCTGGTATACCATTGCCTGAAAAAGGTATTTGTGAGTTTTAATTAATTAAGTTCATGTTTGGAAAATTAAAGAATAATACGTTAAAGTATTTTAATTTGACTTTAAAGTTTTTAGCCGATTTGAGCTTTTTTTGTTGCGTCATTAAGCTATCTGCGTAGCAGTATTTGATTGAATATTGCTGTCCCTTATATGGTACCTGTTCAAAGTAGACGCTAGATTTGACATATCGATGCTTACTGGGTTCGGCACTGTCGAATGACTGTGTCTCAAGTGGTAGAAGTGAGCCTAAAATTTTTGCTATGAAAGATTCAAAACTAGCCAGTTAGGGGTTACTCACTTGTCGGCAAGGTACTCTCGTTTGCACATATGAGAAACGATGAATACCTGTTTCATGCATGTTTACGGAATCAACTCGACCTAAAGTAGTGGAGGCATTTTTTAAATTTTCGCAAATATTCTTTGACTTACTTGCATTTACAACAACTCGTGTTTTCATCCTCCAAACGTTGCAGTTCATTTTGTGCCTGGATTCTGTGAGGAAATTGAAGTTGAATTTAGCAAGCGTTTTTGGTGTTTCCTAAAAGAGCTTTGCATCGTTTTGGTGCTTAATAGTTGTAAAAGCGAAAGCGAAGAGGATCAAGTTGTCCTAAGCTGTATATCATTCAGTGACTGCATGTTCTTTGAAAAAGTTTTTAATCTTGCTTAATAAGGCAATTTTTCAAAATGTCGCTCTAATAGCTCTATATGCAGTCGTAATAGCAAATGGTACTCACACTAGGTAACTGGAATTGTACGTCGCGATGTTCGAATAGCAGTGATCCCGCTTGTGGATGCTCTGCGAATAGAGTCTGTAAAGTATGAATTATTTCGTGAAATCTTAATGGAGATGCAAATTCGAGAAAGAGTTCATTTTGAACCTGTTTATATGCCCTTTCATTGGTCTCCAGTGGAATTTTCAACAATGTTGAAAAAACCATCTTAGAAATGAAGAAGAAAATTGTTGTCTGGGTAACTTCTTTACTCAGATCATAGTTGAGCCTTCATCAGCGGTTATTGTATACATATGCCTACAAATCTGCTTATCATGTACATTACAAGTGGTTGTTTCATGGGCAAATCTGGCGCAACTCAGCTGATATGTTCATCTTGACTCAGTATCTAGGGTCTCACGATATCTGCCCGAGTTGCGGTAATCGCCTCTAACACATCACAAAAGGCTTTCCCTTTTGCCCTCATGGCAAAAAGGCAAAATTTCTCTTTTCTGCCATGCGAGGCCGCCAACACATTTTTAGTTGTTTCTGATTTATCAAACCTTCCTATTCAGTCTATTCGTCTAGTTCGCGTCTGGCTTTTTCGCATGATCACAGTTAAAGAATTTGGTATAGAATCCTATCATTTCCTTTAAATGAAGTGCTAGGACATGTCTCACTTAACTCCAACAAATTAGCCTGATACGCGATATTGAAGTCGTCCGGTTTTCGCGCTTTTTTAGGGATTTTTGAAGGTATTAAAATGCTTTTGCTGTCTTGAAGGTGACACTGCCAACAAAATTTTAACATTCTTTCTCCTCATTTCAGTAATGATCTCTAGGCTTTACTAACTTTCACTCTTTTTTTAAAACCCAGCGCGGTTTTCAAGTCTACCAACCTTAAGAATTTCCACATTAATACCAGGTCTAATATTCAGTGGGTCTGTGGGTAGAAGAAGGTCGTCAATATCCGAAAATGCGATCATATTTGCGAAAGGCTTTGCGATGAATAAACAGTTTACATGCGACTCCTCTATGC